TTATTATGGTTAGATGAGATGTTGAAGCTAGGGGATGTATAGAGAAGAATGAATGAATTGAAGAACAAGAGTTAAATTGACGGTGTGCGCAAAAACTAAGACTCTATCGATTATAAAAGCTAATGGAGTGCTAAGTTGTTGATTTGGAGACGTAAGATGAGCTGCTGCAGACGTTTTTAGCAGACCATTAAGGGAAAGAGGAATGATGAGCCTGCTGGCATAGAAAGTAATTAACATAGTGCTATCTCAAGTTCGGATCGTTTGGGTTCATGATAGGGTTCGTTTTTATCAATTAACAAGTTACTCGTTAAGCATGGATGGAGTAGACCTCGAATCCAGAATTTTCTTTAGATTTCGACAGAATTTTCTAATGTTTATCATCGAAGTGTGAGGGGTGGAACGGATCATGTTTTTGTGGCGTGTGATTAGGGGTGAGTATTTGATCGAGTCGAGTCAAAATATTTTGAGTTATTTATGTGCTGTCAAATTCATGCTTAATCTTTCAAAGTTACATAGAAAGTCAGTGTTGTTTGGCTGCTGAATTTTTTTTGCTCAGCAAACAACAAACAATTATAATTAATGAACACGGATAAGGAGTTAAACAACTGCTCAAAATAAAAGAGACCCAATGAGCAGTCCACAAAACATCACCACGCTAAGTTTCTACACACATTGGGGCAGATCCGAAATAATGGCAGATATACACAGTCCAATAATTAATAAATATATAATTTTCTTCTTTAAAATTTTATCTTTTAGACTTTTTTCATATGTTCAAGATTTTATCTTGTTCTTGCTTGGAGTGCAAAAATCTAATTGTCTTGAGGTGTTCTTCACCTTTCAACAAAACAAAACTTCAGCCAAATCTAGCACCATCTTCACAACTTTTAAACCAAATCTCATATCATATTAATACTTCGAAATAGACATGTTTGTCTTTTGTACTTTTACATTGTTGGATTCAAGCAAATGAATCGCAAACAAATATGACTAGTTCCAGCATAGGATAGGAATGAGGTTAGGAATTTACAAAGAATAAGAAAGTAAATCAGGTGTTGTGGGCCTGATATGTCACAGTTGCGGTCACTTCAGCTGTTTGATTAACCTTAACCAAGTAATTAAAAAAATGGTCTCATAACTGGGATTGTCTCAGGAAAGGCAGACTAATATATGGCTAATATACGGCGTTATCAGATATATTAAAAGATATTTGACAAATTCGGTTTAGCGCTACCGGAAATATCGAGTAATAATAATGTAATAGGTGAAAATAAAGAAATATTAAAAAATTTGGCAACCGGCAAACTTAGCTTGTCGGTTTGTGTCGATACTTTATAAAAATATATTGATCCATAACAATAACAGGTAAAAAAAATGACAAAACGGTCTAAATGACAAAACAGGTAAATCGCTACCGGATATATTGAAAGTGTCGATACTTTATAAAAATGTATCGATCCATAACAATATAACAGGTAAAAAAATGACAAAACCGGTCTATAAATGACAAAACAGGTAAAGCGCTACCATATATATTGAAAGTGTCGATACTTTTTAAAAATATATCGATCCATAACAATATAACAGGTAAAAAAAATGACAAAACCGGTCTATAAATGACAAAACAGGTAAAGCGCTACTGGATATGTTGATAGTGTTGATACTTTATTATAAGCATCGACACTTTTGAAATTTAAAAGAGAAGAAGTTATAGCGCTAATAAAGTGTCGATACTTTATAAAAATGTATCGATCCATAACAATATAACAGGTAAAAATATGAAAAAATCGGTCTCGAAATGACAAAATCGATAAAGAGCTACCGGATATGTTGAAAGTGTCGATACTTAATTATAAGTATCGACACTTTTGGAATTTAAAACAGAAGAAGTTATAGTGTCAATAATGTGTCGATACTTTATTATAAGTATCGACACTTTTGGAATTTAAAAGAAAAGAAGTTATAGCACCAATAAAGTGTCGATACTTTATAAAAATGTATCGATCCATAACAATATAACAGGTAAAAATATGACAAAATCGGTCTCGAAATAACAAAACCGGTAGTAAAAAAGTGTGCTTGTGTGGTCATTTTTGTTTCAGAATTTTTATTTTTTAATACAAAAAGTTAGATATTTTAACCAAAACTCAGTAAGAAAAAAACAAAAACTTTGCAGTAACAAAAGAATAATATTGGGAAACCCACCATGTTATCAGTTTCTCAAAAAACAAAAACCCAGAAAAAGACATCTCTTAAAGCAAACTTATGATATACTCTTATTATCTCCATAGGATAAAGTTAGGTCAGTTTTAGTTTAATTTTTTTTTGTTAGGATTTTGTGTCATTGAAACTGTTGATTGAAGAACTCAAACTGGTGCACGCATAAGTTTCGATGTATTTATGAAAAGTATCGATCAAAAAAACATCGAAATCGATAATTATTATGTAACAGGTAAATTTACAATGTAACCGGTAAAATTATACTGGTTAATTAGCAAATAGGTTTACATTATATATCGACACTCTTTAAATATGTGTCGATATTTTTTTCCCAAAATAAAAGCACAACGAGATGCACGCATAAAGTGTCGATACATTTAAAATTGTATCAATCTCAAAAACATCAAAACCGATAATTATAATGTAATAGGTAAATTAGCAATGTTACCGATTTAAATATACCTGTTTAGTTAGAAAATAGGTCAATATAAGCGCTACCTATTACATTATATAAGCGCTACCTAATATATTATTGTACTTGATAATATTTCCGGTTAAATGATATAACATAACCGGTCTAAATTTTAACCGGTCACTTGTTTAACAGGTCACGCCGTTTTTTAACTGTTTTTAGGCGTCGCACAGTAGAAGTTCCCCTCATAACTACATGGCAATGTTTTACTGAATCCTTTAACTATTAAAAATTAAAAAATGATCACCCGACTATATGACACTGCTTTGTTGAGTCTCCGACTATTAAACGTTACAAAATAGTCATCTGACTATTCTTTTTTTTATTATTAAGTTAAGATGATTACAAAGTATTACTTGTTCTAAATATACTATCAATCATTTGACAATGAACGCTCAATCACTCTGTTACAGTCGCTGGTGCTCGAACCCGAGACCTCTAAGAACAACAATGATTCCTTTAACCACTGAAGTAAGTTGGTTCGTGCATCATCTAACTATTTATATGTTCTAAACTTGTCCTTTTTTTTTATAAAAAATGTCAATTGTTTGAGATGAACGTTAATCGTTTACTAGGATATGATAAAATATGATCCTATAAATGTTTGAGTTGTATTTTGTGGAATGACTCTCTATTTATATTATGTTGTTGAGCTCGTGCTTGAAAGTAATGACTGTGCATGTAGACATCATTAAAATATATTTTTATCATATCCCAGCCAGCAGGCTAACGTTCAACTTAGACAAACGTCAACCTTTTAACAAAATGGACGAGTTTAAAATATATGAATAGTTGAGTGACCATTTTAGAGCTGTTAATTGTTTAGAGATTCAACAAAACAGTATCTTATAGTTGAGGGACTATTTTATACTTTTTAATAGTTGAGAAATTCAATAAAGCAATATCTTATAATCGGGAATAATTTGTGTATTTTACCCCTAAAATTATATGATGAAATATAACAGCACGAACTAAATTACCTTAGTGATATATAAATTATTGTTATTTATTGAGGTATTATGTTCGAGCACCAGACATGTATGGGTATCAGTGTTCAATGTCACGTAATTAAGAATCATCTTTGAACATATATGAACATATGTTTACCTATTGATTAAAAAATGATTTAAGATCTTAAAATACGATTACAGAAAAGATATAATATAAAATGTAATCTCATAACACTTCATCTATCTATAATCTAAGATATTAAATCAATTTATCTTTATTTTTATCATTTTAATTAATTTAATTATTTTAAAAAGTATCTAATTAAAATAAAACCTCTTAGAATACATAATTTGATCATTTATAATCAAATTAACATATCTATTATTTTTTTCGTTCTTCGATTTAATTTATAATTTTAAAAAATAAAAATTCAAAGGTAAAAGAAAATTAAGGGAAAAATGAATTTTTTTTGTAAAAAAAAATTAGAAATTCGAGAGCGAAAGGATTAAAATGGCATTTTCCTTGTAAATTGTAGGGATGGACTAAAATGACATTTTCCTTGTAGGTTGTAGGGATGGGAATGGTCGGGTTACCCCACCTAAAAATTTTACTCTTTCACCCTACTCAAAAAATATATATACTCCACCCGAATTAATTTTTTGAGATAAAATTTAAACTCGATCCGACCCGAAATAATAAAAAAAATAATTTTTATTCAATAAAACATTGATTTAATTAAAATATATATATATATAAAGGAGTATTATTATAAATATTCATAAATATATAAGGTAAAATTATATTTTTTCTAAGTAAAATTAAATATTTTTCATCTTAAACTCGAATTCAACCCGACCTGTCGGATCCTATGCCCATCCCTAGTAAATTGAATGGGAGGACACAAAAAGGCATATTGCTACTAAAGTCAATCTCAACATCAAATTAGGAAATTAAAGATTTTTCCCTAACGATGAAATCATTAAATTACTCGATATGAAAATTTTACGAATTCCCATTTTAAGAAAACAATAGATCATGAATTTGAAAGCAGAGTTATAAAATCCTATTGAAATTATTAGTGTTTATAATATTTACCAAATAGGTAGTTTATGTCACTTCACATATATCAACACGCACAAAAGGTAATATCAATAGTAGTAGTAGTAGGTAGAATGACTGTAAATACTTGGAAGAAAAAGAGAGCCTTGAATTCATTTACTTCTAAAAATAAAAATTCAAAAGAATTCCCTTAGGTTTCTTCTACCCAACTAATTAACAATGACACCAACTAAAGAATTGATTTGGCAAAGGCAACAAGAGAATATTCTCTCTTTCAAGCTTGCAAAAAGGCCCCATACCTAAGTTAAAAGTAGTGCACAAAACCAATCCTTTCACATGTAGAATAATAAAAAGAAGGAACCAAATAAGTATCTAAAGCTTCTTTATTTCAATTAAAAAAACATACATACCCTTTTGCTTTGTTTGCTTTTACCATGGACCTTCATCAGCAGGGTAGTCAAAAAGAACTTGGGTAACAGTGGAGGAATCTTGTAGATCCGGGTGTATGAACCCATAGTTTCTCAAAACCTGATTATCAGCAAAGTTCAAAGCTTTGTCCATTCCATTCCAACATGATTCACCAGCATACATCTGATTATGGTCCCCACTACAAGGCTGGCATCCAGTGAAATGCGTGATGAACGGTCTCCTCCAACTCCCTTTCCCATTCCCAGCCTCCTTCAAGAACTCTTCCCTAAACGCACCGTATTGCTCACTCACTTTCTCTGCATGTCTCCTCCTCAGCTTCGGCATTCCTCTCTCTATCTCTAAATACTTTTCCGTTGTGTTTTCATACCTTCCGATGATCTCAACCCAATACCCTTCAAAATAAAACTGGCTTTCCAAATATATGTGAGAATAATATTTCTCTTTTTCTTTGTAAAGCAAATAAACTAGAGCCGATTGATCATCTGATTCAGGGAAAAGCTTATCTTTGAACGTTGATCGTTGAATCCGACCCCACTTTTTGTACTCCTTGCTCATCGGACCCATGTTCGACCAGGTGTTGATGAAATCCATGGACCATTGACAGTTCCTCATCAAGAAAATCCCAGCGTTTAAACTGGTCCAGCTTTTGCTGTTGTAAATCAACTTTGGCCAACCGTGAACGACCAAGTTCTGGTTTTTATATCTTTGTAAAGGTAACTTGAACTCCATGTCCGTAAATAAGGCGTCCGAGTCAACCCACCAGATCCACTCGGCTTCCGGGTGAGCCAACATGGCTGCTTTAACGACCGGTAACTTGGCCCAATAGGAATTCATTTTGGGGTGCAATAACAAGTTGTTGTAAAAGATGTCGTAGCCATGGATTCTACAGTAATCGACCTTGTTCTTGAAAAAACGCAAGAGTAAATGATCGCCGATGGGGTTCTTGCATGGCTTTGGTTGAGACCCGGTTACGAGAATGATTCTTTCGCTTGCTCCGGCGGCGAACGAAGGGTGATGCTTTAACCACTCTTTGCGTTTTTCGTCCCATTCTTTCACCGGCTTTTCTATGGAGTAACTCATCTCTGGATCGTCGTAAAAGGTCTGGCCTTTTGGGTCGGACTTCAAGTTAACTCCGAACCCACTTTCCTTGCAACCTACCGGATTAGACGATGGGTCGGCAATGGAGAAGCCGAAGTTAATAGTTGGAGTGAAAAACGACCAAAATGAGCAAACTAACATTATAGCTAAAACAACACCACCGCAGTGAAGAAAACCATCGGAGAAACACCAGACCGACCGATGTCGAGGCTTCGAATGAGATGACTCAGGAGACACCATTTTTTTTTTTTTGGTTTTTAAGTTTGGTGATCAAGGAGATTTTCTAGCAGAGGAAAACAGGGAAAAAAATAAGAAAAGGACAAAAACTGAGTTGTCAAAATTTGATTGGGACAACCGAGTGGACTGACAACGTTTTAAGTGTCTTTGCTTGTAGTTAGAGAAAATCTTAAATACGAAAGACTTAATATACTATTAAATAAATATATTATTAGTTTTGTTATTGTTTTTCAATAAAATTAATAAATAAATTATCAAAAATATTATTATTTTTATTAATTTTGTTATTTTTTATACTTTATCGATTTTATTAATATATCTGATAAAAGATTATTTAAAAGATTATTTTTTATTAGTTTTGTTATAACTAAGCATTTTACCCAAAATTTTAAAAATATTAATATTTTAAATAAAAATAATAATATTTTAGATAATTATTTTATCGATTTTATTAAAAAAAATAACAAATCTGATATTATTATTTTTAATCATATATTTAGACTACTATACAATAAAACTTCATGGTCACTGTGTTTTTTAAAAGTGAAGAGGCGTCGGTTTCGCTGAGCCGGATGCCGAAACACGTGGGCTGCTAATAGGGGCGTGAACTATGGTTCGAGAACACGTGGCTATTGACGCCTGTGGTTGATTGCTCACAGCTGTTAACTAGAGTCTAAACTGGTCATATAGGTTTGACTCTTTAATTTACAACGCCAAACTTCCGTTATTTCCGTTTAAATTGAACTTTTTTTTGGCGCAATGCTTATTGAAGCCCTCAAAAGTTTTGAGGAAAAAAATAAAATCAATGTCACTTTAGAACTTATTTTGCGCTCAATATAACTCTTAAATCGATCATCATTGAGGTCCTCAATTTTTTTAGAAAATCAATGTAACTCTTATCAACGAAAATTGTAGCTAATCATAATACTATTAATGTGGTATTTTATGAACATTTAATTATTTTAAAAAATTTAAAAGATTTATTGGATTTTTAAAAATTTAAAGGACTTATTTACTTTTGAAAAAGTATTAAAAACTAACATTAAAACGAAATTTTAATTATAACTCAAGGGTTAAATGTAATTTTTCTTATTAATTTAACATATCACATCATACTTTTAATAGTGTTTAATTGTGTTGTACACATTAAATACTCGTGTATAACTTTTGAAAGTTTAAAATTTAAAATTTAAAAATATCATCTTTGATATAATTTAATGATTATTTGTGAAATGCACCTTATAAAATTAATAGTGAATATCAATGTATGATAATTATTTTAGAAATTTTATGTTATTTTACTACGTGACTGTAAAAATTAATTTATATTTATGTTTTATCTAACAATTATAATATTATTGTAAATGAAGATAAAAGTTTATATAAAAATCTAAAACAATAATTTTATTTGAATTTAAAATTGGAAGGAACTTAAATAAGATTTAAACAAACTAATATTAATTTATCATCCTAGAAAAAAAGTAATATATTTATCAAACATACGTAACTAAAATATTTTTTATAAAAAATATATTAAAATAAAAATTTTAATCATAGCACATTAACTTTTGGAGTAATGGAGCTTAAATTATTTTCAAATTCTGCCTTCTAATTCAACGAGGATAACTTTAACATTGGTTTATAGATAGACGAGAAGGCGCGAGATTTGATAACGCATTTATTTTCTATGCTGGATCTTTCGGGCTTGGACCCAAACCCAAGTCAAATATTATTGACAATATATTTGAATAAATAATTGTAGACAGCCGTTTTTGTCTGGTTTTTTTTTCATTTTATTTATATTATTATTATTATTATTATTAATTACAAGTTACATTTTGCAGGCCAATCCCGAGGCCCAACCCTGAAGCCCAACAAGAACCCAATAAGCCCAGTTAATTTTTGAAGCCAAACCCTGAACCTAATTTACCCTAGGGTTTTGAAACCCTAAAAGCTATCATCCAACAACCACCTGCCGTCGCTATTTGGCCTTCCATCTCCCAGCCATGCTTGAGCCGCCGATGGTGAATCCCGAGTCGTCGGTATAAGCTACAGTGACACCAATAGTGACTCCAACAATGACTCGCATCCATCATCAACAGTGGATAGAAATCACACCAAGTTAGAAAACAGAGAAAAAAATCAAAACAAATCTTATCATATATTATAGGGTATCATTCCCCTATCAACTGGATTCAAAATCCATATTTCAATCAACACATGTAAGCAATCATAAAAGAGAATGAGGGATACCATTTTCGGGGAAGGAAACAAGGGGGAACCATTCGGTAAAAAGAAAAAGAGAGAAAATAAAAAGGAAAACGGAGAGATAAGAACCCAAAAAACTCACCTTTCATCGAGATATGGTCTTCGCTAACTCCATCGGAGTTAAGAGAGCAGCAACCGGAGGTAAATCTTTATGGATCTTTAGGGTTTCCAGAACCTTTGTTTGGGGTTTTGAGTTTTGGAAGGGTTGGGTTTGTTTTAGGAGAAGCAAAGGAAAAATAGTGAGAGAGAGGAGGGCAAGTGTGCTCTGTGGGTGGTTATTTTAAGCGTCAGCCGCCGTGCTTGGCCGTTGGGACCGTCGTGGATCGACGGGTATTAAAGGGGGGTTTGGGGAGATAGTTAAAACTCTCTCCTTTCCCTATTTTTGACTGAGAGATGAGAATGAGATAATAGGGTTCCTAAACCTTAAAAGTGATATATAACCACTAAAGGAAACGATGTCATTTTAAGGGTCTGGGCATACGTGTTTCAACATAGGGGGTAAATGTCAATTTTGATCCCCAATATTTTGTAATCATTTTGTTTAATCATTAAATGAAATTTCTAATGTTCTGTTTTAGGCATGTATCTTTCACTAATTATATTTCAGTCACTAGTTTGTTTATTTTGTTATGTTTGTGTATGTTTTAATTTAGTCACAATGTTTTCAGTTATTTTATTTTAGTCACTTGTAGTCTGTGTTGTGTATTTTTGTTGACATTCGAATTTGACCATGTAATTTGTGAACCCTTCATTTTAGTCACTCGTATGTATTTGGTTTAATTACTGTTGGACCCTTTATATTTATGTTTATTTCATTTTAGTTATTTATCATAATTTATGGGTTATTTCTATCTCCAGTACCTATATTATGTATATATTTATGATTTGGGCTCCTATTTATTTGTAATTTTTATTTTTAGTCCTTTAATTTATGTTTCTTCTACTTAAGCACTTTAAGTTTTTGTATTTGTATTTTGGTCCTTAAATTTTCCTTTTTTACTGTTTTAGTCCCAAATTTTTGTTTTTGTCATTTTAGCCCTTAAAGTCTTTGTGTTTGTTATTTGGACTCTTTAACTTTCTGTTTTTGGTATTTAGTTCATTAGGCTTCTGTTTTTAACATTTTAGTCCTTTAATTTCCTATTTGTACTATTTTGGTCCTTTGAGTTTATATTTTAGCTATTTTGGTCCCTTATAATTTCAAATACTTACTTTTTTGGTTCATTTGTATTTTTGTAATATTGATTTGTATTTATTTCCATCCCCTATGTATGTATATATATATATATATATATATATATATATATATATATATATATATATATTTATTTGTATCATATATAGAATTAAGTATGCTTAATTTTATTTGTTGTAAATATTTATTTCGCATATTTTTTATTTATTTCCATTGTGTTTATTTAAATATTATTCGAATAATTTCAAGAACGCGAATTTGTAGAACGGGCATGGAAAGTATCACTTGATCGAAGTGGTATAATCCAATACGACATTCGAATAAATACGAACTTGAAATAAATCAATTTAATTTTACTAATTAATTTATTTTAATAATACAGTGTGTGTTATTTTTAATTCACTATTTATTTCCTTTTATTTGAATGCAAATGTCAATTTCATTTATATTCGATTCGCATATTTATCAATGAGGGAATATTCTTTTATTGACAAGAAATAGTCGAGTTAGCTTTCCCGATGGAGGATTACTAATTTCAATATTTCTTTTTGAGTTAAAGAATTTTCTGTAATTAATTTATTCGAAGCAAATTAATTAAATTTCAATAAATGAATCACATTTTAACTTTACGTTCGACTCACGATTTTCACCATGTACAACAACGTGTAAGCGACATTGTACCAATTTTGGGCGTTGTGGGGTGTTTACCCTTCCCCACACGTAACCGACTCCCGAACCCGTTTTAAATCAAATCTTTGGTAAACGAATACCATTTTTTGTTTAAAAAAACGATTTTCATTAAAATTGTTTTTAAAAGAAGTTTTTAGGTATTCGACCTACCTAACCCAAAGGTCGATGGCGAATCCCATTCGATTTAATTCAAATCAATTCAAAATCAATCATTTTTCCAAATCAAAGTCATAATCGTTTTTTTAAATAATATTTAATTATTTCTCAAAAAATGGTTATGACAATAATTATAAGGAAAGTTAAAGAAAAAAGAAGGGTTAATTAAATCACTCGATCCCTAAACTATGATTTTTATTTTAAAATTATCTTTATCTTTTAACTATTTCAATTCCATACCTAAATTATGACTCTCATTTTAAATTAATCTTCAAAATTTTAAAAATCTTGATTCCATCCATATAATGTGATCCTCAATTTAAGTTGATGCCCAAACTTTTGGATCTTCCAATTTCATCCCCAAATTCATCCAAATATATAATTAATTTTAGGCAAAAGGGTAACTTTTTCCCTTGTAGTAGACCTAATTTATCATTTTCATCATTATCGTATTTTCGCATCAATTTTTCTCCCGAGATTGCTCAATTGCATCATTTTATACTCTACCCCTAACTTAACCCCTAAATTATAAATCTTAAACCCTAAATCAAAACTCCATAACCTTTAAACCATAGATCCTAACATTAAACCCTATCTTAGGGATATAATTTAGGGTTTTGAGTTAGGGGTAAGATATATATAATGATGCAATTAAACAACTTTGAGGGCTAAATTGATGTGAAAATATGATAGGGAC